CATATGAGTTGATATGATGTACTTTATTTTCATTTGTCTCCAGATATTTTTTGATTTCTCCTTTAATTTATTCATTGATCAATTTGTTGTTCAGTAGCATGTTGTTTAGTCTCCATGTATTTGTCAATTTTCCAGCTTTTTTCTTATAGTTGATTTCTAGTTTCATAGCATTTTGATTAGGAAAGATGCTTGATATGATATCAATCTTCTTAAATTTATTGAGGCTCGCCTTGTTTCCCAATATATGGTCTATCTTTGGGAATTTTCCACGTGCACTTGAGAAGAATGCATATTCTGTTTTTTTGGATGGAGTGTTCTATCTACATCTATTAAGTCCATCTGGTCTAGTTTCATTTAATTCCACTATTTCCTTGTTGACTTTCTGTCTGGATGATCTAGCCATTGATGTACATGTATAATGAAATATTTTCAACCAGCTTTTGTTTTTGGTCACAGCCAGAGATCATTTTGGCCAATCCCTTTAGTAAATTGCCAGTGAAAATAGATGTATATATCTGCTGATATGGCTATTACTCATGTTTTCCTGTGTGCATGTGCCATTCTTGACTGAATGTGGAGGTATCTATGATTTTTAAACAATGTGATCCTGATAGCGCTAGCATGACTCAAATGATCATTTAAATATCTCTCTTCTAGTCCTTTACAACATTTTAAGTTGCAAAAAATCAAGGTTTTGTCTTTTTTTGTCATCCTTACTTCTCCTAAAAGCTGTTGTCCACAAATAAATAATGTTTACCTAACTCTTATGAAGTGTCAGGGCCAGTGCTAAGTACTTCATATGTATTATATCATTAGACTTCATAATCACCCTATAAGGAAATGTTGTTATTTTACGAATAATGAATTTGAACCTCAGCACTGAGACTATCTTCTACCACCCCCAGGTCTTCTAAAAATCCTCATTAAAAGCTCCTCCCTTGGGGCACGGCCTAGTGGTTAAGCTCATGCGCTCCACTTTGGTGTCCCGGGGCTTCACTGGTTTGGATCCTGGTCATGGACATGGCACGGCTCCTCAGGACAGGCAGCGTCCCACGTAGCACAACCAGAGGCACTCACAACTAGAATATATAACTATGTACTGGAGAGCTTTGGGGAGAAAAAGAAGATTGGCAACAGTTGTTAGCTCAGGTGCCAATCTTTAAAAGAAAAAAGAAAGCTCCTCCCTCAAAGAAGGATATTATTTTTAGGATTGAGCTATACTAGCAAAGACTCTAGGGAATAAAATTTCCTTTCTTCACTGACATGTAACCCTTTGGGCTCCATCTTCTCTTTTCCGCTCTCCTTCCCTCTCTCCCTCCAGTCTCCTCTCCTTCCTCTCTTTCTCTCATACACACAAAAACATGCATGCACACTTTTTCACAACAAATCCTTGCAAGACAGAATGTTTTACTATGAGTTTTCAAGTCATTTTTTCACAACATTTTATTAAGGAACTGGGAATAAAAAACATCATAGAAAGTTTTTTTTTTTTTGAGGAAGATTAGTCCTGAGCTAACTACTGCCAGTCTTCCTCTTTTTGCTGAGGAAGCCTAGCCCTGAGCTAACATCTGTGCCCATCTTCCTCCACTTTTTTATATGTGAGACGCCTACCACAGCATGGCATGCCATGTCCGCACCCAGGATCTGAACCGGTGAACCCCAGGCTGCCAAGAAGCAGAACATGCAACCGTAACCGCTGTGCCACCTGGCCGGCCAGAAAGTTTTATAACCTGCACCATCACAGGTAAAATGCACACTCAGCTCCATGCACCTGTGTATAATCATGGGGTTCACAGAATAGTCAAACTGATTGAATAAAGAGGTTTCTATCAAAGTGAGGAGGGGGAGAAACAGGGCTTATGTGACAGTTATGTTATATACATGAACAGCACACATAACATTATGTTATATGCCCAGAACAACAGTTTAAATGGTCCATTCCAATCAAATTTACTGATTTAAACAAAGTACCTCTATATTATACCAATGGTAATTTTTGTTTATTGAGTTGAATAATTTTTTCTCTTTCAAAGTATAAAATTTTTCTCTTGCAAAGTATGAAACATAGAATTTATATGAGAATAAGATTACTTAATTAGGAAAAAAGAAAACTGTATCAAAGATATTTGTATGTCAATTAAATAAATTATATTGATTGAGAAATAATATAAATATTGAAGATAAAAATAAAACTAGTTAAAATTATATATTGTCCTGCTAGACATCAATGATATAGAACAGAGCCAGCCCTGGTGGCCTAGTGGTTAAGTTCAGCATGCTCCACTTTGGTGGTCTGGGTTCAGTTCCCAGGCATAGACTTACACTGGTCTGTTAGTGGCCATGCTGTGCTGGTGGCCCACACACTAAAAAATAGAGATAGATTGGCATAGATGTTAGCTCAGGGTGAATCTTTCTCAGCAAAAAGAAAAAAAAATATGTATATGAACAAAATAAATGAAAATATATAACTGGACCAAACATTTCTATTTTTGAAAACAGAGAAGTAGAAATATCTAATTGTTGTTCTAGTTATAATTCTGAGCGTTAGGCTATTTATTGTTTTGGGTGAGAGTCTCAATTAGAAAAATGAGGGACCATAAATAATGGACATATTTGAATTTCCAGAATTATTTTACATATTGTTATGTTAGAATGAACTCACTCATTTGTCCATTCATTCACTGAGCAACTACTTTGTGCCAGGCCCTCGCCAGGCAGTGGGGATTCAAAAGTGAACAGAGTTTATGGTCAAGTAGGCAAGCTGCTGCTAGTGGAAGTATTCATCTGCCTAAAACTTTTATTAGATCTTATTTAAGAAGCGCTTCTTTTCTCCTAAAATAGGAGCATTACAATTAGGTAATTATTCTTCCCTCAAATTGTGCCTAGTATTTAATCTTTAGACACACACTCAATTGCCATCAAACTGGTATCAACCTAAATTTCTCTAGTTTAAAACATTATTAAGGAAATACAACTTTAATTCTTGTCAGAGGCAAGAAGTTTTATACATACCATTTTGGGGTGAAATTTCACTAGTGTGCATTGTATTTCCAGATTTTTATTCTTAAAGAGGTCAATATCTAAATTTAATTTCTTCTCCAAAGGTTTTGTCCAACCTTCCATAGTTCCTTTCTATTATCCACTTAATTCCTATCCTATTATAAAATTCAGAAGATTCCAGTAATTAATCCTGGCAATCTTAAATATGAGTTTGAGAATATGCAAGTGAATTTATGCACTTCATAAATAAAAACAAAAAGACAACTTTAATGTTATAAATCTCACCGATAAGCATTTAGTGGACAATTTCAGGACAAGATCTTGATGACATCATAGATCTTGAAACAAAGTTTGCATTATTACACTATAACATAGAATTTTCACTCACTATTCTGATTCTTACCAGATCCTTCTCAGTGCCTAAAATGTCACTGTATCCAATGAGAAGCTCAAAATAAAAAGGTGTTTTCTCAGTTCTAAGGAAGAATAATTTCTTACACATTTTCCCTACTATTTTAGTGTTGGAACTACCATTGTTTTAACTATGCAATTATTCTCTGATCTTATTAGGGAAAGAGAAATCTCATAAAGGGTCTATACCTAGTCACTTTCCCCAAAACATTCTCATTTGACTCCTTTACATTAATTACATATTTTCAATTAAAAGTCCATCAAAATATCATATCAGGAGAGTGGGATGGGTGACCCATCTTCCACAATTATATTCTAAAAGGTAAACTGAATAAAGGATATTTTTAAGATGTTAACTTTAATCATAATAACTCTATAATAATTACAGAAAACAGTAACTCCAATATTTTTCCAAATATAGTTTTGTATTATTATTATAGTCTCTTAGAAATTATTCTTAAGAATACAATTAGAATACATTGCATGAATAATATGAAGCCAGAAAAGATATGATGAGGACAGTTTATAGAAAGCCTTAAAAGGTAGATTGACAAGTATCAGCATTATTAGATTTGCTTTTAAAGATTCAGCATGAGTTTTCAAAATGCTAAAATAATGGATAAGAGTGAAATAGAAGTTTGGCATTTCAAAAGTGAGAGATTACTACTCTCCAGTGGTATAAAACTGGTGCTTTACATATATTGACTCAATACCTACAACAACCGTATGATGTGAGAAAACTGAGGTATCCAGAAGGTAAATAACTTGTCCCAGGTCACAGATCCTGTCAGTGAAAGAGCTGGGCTTTCAACTCAGTCTGGTCTCAGAGTCGTTGCTTTTAATCTGTACCTCCACAGCCTCTCAAAATGATTAAATGAAGGTGGATAAACACAGTTTGAGAATGTAACTACCCTCAAAAATGAGAGATCCTATTCATGGTCAGAAGAGCAATTACAACAAGAGAAACAAGCCTCCTTCATACAGTTTCTAAAGGACAATCTAGGTAATAAAAGATAAAGTCAGGAGAAAATAGATCAAAAGTTCATCACAAACAACGCATTTCACTAGTAATGACCTCTTGAGTGAGATACTTTCATTTTAGACTTTTTTCTCTTCTTTCTCTCTTCTTTCTCATAACCATTCTGCTGCTAGAATTCCATATTTCCTTCAGAATTACTCTTGGGATTGTGCCTTCATCTTCTGAGGGAGCTTGCTGGGGCATTACGGCTGGATTGATAAGAATTTGGAGCATGAGAGCGGAATGCTAGTGTCAGCAGATAGGAGCCAACTGTTATAAATGAAATTCCTTTGAATTGAAATATTTTAATTGCTCTTCAAATCCAAAACCACTTAGAGTCTGCACTGGCTGTGAAGATATGAATCAGTGTTAGCAGCTTGTATTGACCGTGCCCAAGATGGCGCTCAGGTCCGGGAAGAAGAGGAAGTAAGAGGCGTTTCTCCTCCCAGTCACTGCCTTGTCCTGCAGTCCTGGGGCCATTCTGCATAATATATCGTGGGAAAGATCAAGCGAGAACAGGATTTTAAACTCTGCAAATTTCTCCCTGTAAGCAAGAAACACACATACTCACTTTTTCATTGTAAATGTCTCCAAGCATCGTACTTGCTCTCACAACATCTAGGTTTTGAAAATTGTTTCTTGCAATTTTCACGACTTTTTTCAAGTATTTAATTGCTTCTGTCATCTCTCCTTGGCTAGAATAAATAAAATAGGAGACAGTTGGAATATCATCTCATGTAATGTCGCAGTAAAAAGAAGAATTTTGTGTCTTTGCTTTAGATCGTGCCAGATGGTTATCAGGATAATGAAATGTAAAGTGTAAATTTAAAAAATATATGGCTTGTCTTTGTGGGAGTAGACAGTGAGTTAACACTTAAACCTTTAATCTCTCATTCATTGCTGGTGGGATTGTAAAATGGTACAGCTGTTCTGGAAGACAACTTGGCAGTTCCTCAAAAATTTTAATATACAGTTACCACATGTTCTAGCAATTTCACTCCTATGTATATACCCAAGAGAAATGAAAACATATGTCCACACAAACACTTGAACACAAATATTCATAGCGACCTTATTCACAATAGCAAAGAAATGGAAAAAACCTAAATGTCTATTAATTGAACAGATAAGCAAAATGTGGTATATCCATACAATGGAATATTATTCAGCCATAAAAAGGAATGAAGTAATGATATATGCTACAACATAGATAAATCTTGAAAACATGCTAAGTGAAAGAAGCCAGTCACAAAAAACCACATATTGGTGTGATTTCATTTACATGAAACATCCAGAATAGGCAAATCCATGGAAACAGAAAGTAGGTTAGTGGTCACCAGAGGCTGGGGATAGGGGGAAATGGGGAGTGGCTGCTAAAGGGCATTAGGTTTCATTTTGGAGTGACGAAAATGATCTGAAATTAAATAGTGGGGATGGCTACACAATTCTGTGAATATAATAAAAACTACTGTATTATAGAATTTAAAGGGTGAATTATATGGTATATGAATTATATCTCAATAAAGCTATTATTTTTTTAAAAAACCTTTAAAAAGTTTTAAATTTTCCATACTCCTTTGCAAATGAAGCTGGTCCTTTGAGGGGAGGCATATGTCATTTCACGAAATACCTGTTGGGGGTATTAGAGCAAATATGATGAAAATTGAGTATTCTGAACTCCCCCAACCAGGACTCCAAGAAAAGAGAGAGAGATCTAGCCGCAAGATGGAAGGAGCCTGATTTCTGGAAGGCACAACACAAGTATCTAGCAAAGTACAGAATTTATATAAGCAAGAAATAAGATTTTATTGTGATACGCCACTGAGATTTTGGAGATTAGTTAGAGCAACTTAAATGACCAAAACTGACTAAAACAAGTGACTATTTTTTTTTTCATAAAGAATAGAGGGGCACATCATTTTAAAGATTTCAATGAATTATTTTCATAAACTTATCTGAATTCTGCTCTTATTTTCCAAATCTGAGTCCCAAATACTCATTAGTTCCTCACGAGCTGAACGCCACCCCATGGAGGTACAAATCTTAGTTTCACATGAGTGAAAGTCAAACTTGAGTAAGGAGAGAGGAGTGGGAAGAGTCTAAAAATCTCTCTAAAGGAGAATTATTTGAAAGCCAGTCTAAAGAGACAGGCTCTTTTAGGAGCCAGTTGTAGCGATGTCCTATGTGAAGAATACTTGGGGCCCACTTGTGTATGAGAGGCACACTCTCATACAGCAAATGAGATTAAGGACCAAGGTGAAAAATATCTGAGCAACCAAAGAGAGAGTAATTTTTGGAAACGGCTATATCCAAGGTATAATATGCTGTGACTGCCTTTGCAGAGGCAGCTGAAGCCAAAGTCCAGCTCAAGGAACATTTGGCTGGTGATTCAGGGATGTGCCCCAGGAAATTAAAATGGTATGGACAAAGCAAGAAGTGATTTCAAAACAATGGATCCAAATTAAGTGAGCTGAAAAAATTTAGTATCTCTTGAATGTCTGGAATTTGGAATTTGTCTTTTGGTCAATCCCTAAAACACAATGGTGAATCTGAGATTATACGTAATCCCATTGTTAAATCATGTCAGAACCAATGAAATGTTTTATTAATGTGACAAAATCCAGAATTTAGAGATTTAAAAATAACAGCAAAACCTGTAATTGTGTTCTTCAATGGAGTATAAGAAAGGAGAAACTCTTACTTGCTCCTGAACGTCTCTGAGCCCCTAGAACTGCCCTGCTTTGCTTTCATAGGTCAGCAGTTCCCAGTGAGCATCTGTGCCATGACCCTTAATAAACCACGAGATGAAATCCTGAAATGCAGAGGTTGTTTTGCAGTTGAGCTGCTTCTTGCATGGGCATTTCTTTATGTTTATAGGGCAAAGTTTTACTTCGATGAGCTCCAGGTAGTATGGTGACAAATGTGGCATATAGAGAAGCTTTGCTACAAATTTTTAAATTATTGCAATTACAGAAAAATTTAGCGATATTATTACCATATTTCATTGATTCTAATACCCACATTTTACCATATTTTGACATTTCTAAATCAGGATCTTTTACAACAGGTGGCATCTTATAATCTCCGACAGACAGGGAGCAGTCAAGTCATAGCTGTTGCTGCAGGGATGAACTAGGTTTATATTGCTGAAGACGACCCAACAACTGCAATGCCTTGATCTTTCCGTCAACAACTATTTAAAGATAACTTCAGGAAGGAATGCAAAGACTGGCTGTTTTCTAAAAATCTTTCATTGAAACCTTCTGGAAGACAAGAAAGTGCCAACTTCAAAATTGGCAGATTGAGTGTCCATGACTTGAAAGAAAATACTGGAGATGATGAGCACTATTTTAGGAAAGGCTATAGTACCAACATTCGGGATGACACAAAAGATGATATATATGGGGGGGGAAGGTAGTGACAATTCTGAGTTTAAAAATAATTCAAAAGAATTGGACTTTGAATGCAAAGATGTTTGAGGAGTATAATAAATTTATTTTGTTTATATTTTCTGTTTACATGAATGCTCAAGAGTAATTATAAAAAATCTTTGTGTAAATGAATCTAAAATAGCTCTTTTATTAAGTATAAAATAAAAATTCTAAGTTATAAGAAAGTATTATGTCACATTTTAGTTAGAACAGTTTTCTCTCTTGGTAGTATATAAGGCGTAGCTTCCAGTAGAAAGAATCTTAAATTTAGTGAAATCTGAAAATAAAGCTACTCCTTCAGCATAATAGAGTAGGTTATTTCATTGGCTAGTAAATCTTCGATTAAAATTTTCTAGGAAGTTTAAAATTCACATTGAATTTATATATACATAATGTGACTAGAACATAATAAGATTGAACAACTCTAAAATTGGTCTAAGTACTTTGTGGTTCTTGTAAATCTCTACCTGTATTGATTTGTTTCATTTAATTTTATGCGAAAATTACCATAACTAATTTTTTGTGCCTGTGTTTGTCATGTGTGAAGAGTCATAAAGCGATCAAATATTCAACAGTGTTCTACTTTTACGATGGGCATCAAAATATCAACAGGTCTAGTCTTACAAATTCATTTGCAAAATGGTACTCATTTTCCTGGCTGCAGTTAAAACAGAAAAATTTAACATTCACCCAAATCTCTGAGGAAACAGAACTCAACTCAGAATAATTTTTTCCATGAATGTCTATGTTAGATGATTGATGAGCTATATTATTACCATATGCAATAAACAGTTGAGAAAGCACTTCTTGAAAAAGTAATATAAAAGATAATACTGTATTTTCAGTGGCAAGAATTTGAGATTTTTCACATCAGAAATGGTTAGTATATGGAATAAGTTCATGCAAAAAATATATTAATAAGATTAGAATATTCATAAAATAATCCCATGAATGTGGTACATGTGTTAGAGTCATTACTGGGCAAATTAAAAATTGTTTGGCTGTTACACAAAATTAACTAGCATCAGATGGAAAATTATGCTTATAACCAAGAGGAAGAGTTATCTAAGATTAGAACTCATATTCATCTTGGAAAAAATGTCAAGCTACGTTTAAACACTTACTAAAATTAAATATTTTGTCTACATGTTATTTTTCTAGGATCTGTATGGGAATAAACACAGCAGCTCTGTGCATTATTATCCCATAGTCTTTGCTCTATGCTAAATATTTAATAAAACTAGCCTTCAAACATCAAAAAAAGAGGGGTGAATTGTATGGTATATGAATTATAGCTCAATAAAGCTGTTATTTTTTTAAAAAAACTTTATCTTTGAATAAAAGAATGGTTGAACATTTGGGAAGGGAAACATTTATGCAGTACACATAAAAGTTAAGATTCCAGGTAGAGTGTGTGAATCTCAGTCACTGGATATCTGGAGTCCATGACTGTAAACTCCTGTCTGTCTCCTTGATATTTCAGTTAACATCAAGAACGTCTTTTTATTTCAGTAACATCTTTGAGAGACTATCAAATGCCCTACAATGTGCTAGTTGCTGGGGAATATGGATCCTGCCCTTAAAGAGTTTCACTGTCAATTTGGAGAGATAAATGTATATATTCATACGTGGGATTAACTGTGATTGGCACTACAAAGTGTGTATAGCACTTGGAAACCTGGATCACATACATTTAAATATCTTCACAAGAGCAAGACTAGTGTTTGCGGGGCAAATTTGGTCTTAAAAGGCAGTCAAAAAGATGTGGAGCCAAATCTAGTGAATACAATGGTGATCTCAAAGCATCTATATAAATTTGAAAAATTATAATATGTATTATACTATGTACCTTTGAATTTGGAACTGCATAGAATACTTAGTGTGTTTAGAGATTCACAGGCCCCTTGCTCTACGCTCATGTTTCTTCTTCCTCCAGCCTTACCCAGGTCTTCAGCATAGGTTGGGAGTCCCTGCTGTTAACCGATCTGTCTTTCTCGCAAGGTTTCTCTCTCTCTAGTATGTAAGCACTCTCAGCTGATCTCTAGTCTCTCACTTCTCCTGTGTCTCTCATTTTCCTGGATCTCACTGACATTGAGGTCTCTGCCTACTCAAAGTTGGCTGTTTCCAGAGTTCTGTCTAAGGCCTTGCTCTCCCCTCCCATTAACTGCTAACTAATGGCAATTTCATGGACTACTAGGGCGTGCCCTAACTCCCATATGCACATATCTGGCAAATCTATATTTCTAGCCCTGATTTTTCCCCAG